ATCTTTTCCTCACTCTCATTCTCTCACATTTTTGTATGTGTGTGGGCTCAAGAAAGTGTTGAAAATGAAGAAAAATGATGAGTGGTATAAAAGGTGCCTTATATAGGCTTGGATTAAGTAATTCTTCAATAAAGCTTCATTGAGCATTAATTATTCTAAATTAATCGTTTCGAATCGAATTTCAATTAAACCTACCATAAAATTCTAAAAACCCTAATTAACACAAAAATCAAGTCAATTTCCAAATCGAATACCGATAAGGCCTTCAATTCGCAAACCGACACTACAACATTTTCTTAGTTTAGTGACATTTGAAAGTGCCACAAAACTATTCTTCTAATGACATTTTTTGGTCTTGTGGCATTTTGAACAAGTGCCACTTCTGTCGGTGTCACGGTAGATACGAGTGCCACGGTAGATACTTGCAAGTGCCACTGCACCATCATGGCTGAAAACTTTCAATGACATTTTAATGTCATGGTAGATATTATTTGTGGCACTATCAAGCGCCATTAAAAAAAGAGTTAGTGACACTTGTAAGTGTCATTACACCATCAAGACTAAACCTTTCAGTGACACTTTAATGTCATGGTAGGCACTATTCGTGACGCTATCAAGTGCCATTCATGACGATAATTCGTTGTAGAACAATTTGATCCGCTCTTGCGGAGACTCGAACCGCCAACCTTCCGCACCATAAACCTTATACACCACACTCTTCTGGTTTCTCTTTTCATTGGTTGTTGTGTACATATTGTTTACATCCTTCACTCTTTGTAATTGAGTCTTGGGTTATGTTGGGCAGGTGTGAAACAGTTTGGTTGAGCTTAGGAACCAAGTGTAGTTGCCCAGATTTTGGCCTGTCCGCTCGAGCGGGAAAATCAACCTTCCAGTATTTTCTCTGCATGGTTGTCCGCTCGAGCGGGAGTTTGGACGCTTGAGTGGGAGTTTGTGTGTTACGCTCGAGCGGGGAGTTGGACGCTTGAGCAGGGTCCTAGTTCTGTAAAAGTGCTGGGAGTGTGTATTCAGCGCTCGAGCGGCGGTTTGGACGCTCGAGCGGGAGTCTGTGAGTGACGCTCGAG